ACGAATAATACCCAAAATTGGCCATAGGCGACGCTTTAAAAGCTTTTACCGCTCATCAGTTTAGTGTTATCAGTGATTGATGGCCCTAAAATGATTGCTCTCACTGCGACGTTCGTGGCGATATGTAACGTGTGTAGCGCAATTGTCGTTTTTGTGCGCTGGGGCACCGGACGCGTATTTACGTTTATAGGTAAATGTGGGGAGTTAAACATTTTGGGGGGGTTTTTTTCACTTTTTTTGTGACTTATTTTTTTCATTTTTATATATGTATGTATGTATGTATGTATGTATGTATGTATGTATGTATATATATACACTTTTTTTGCACTTATTGTTATTGCTATTATATAGGGGGGTAACAATCCCCCTATATAATAGCAAAGGCACACTGACAGGTCCTCTTTATGGAGACATTAGGGGTCTCTAGGACCCCTAATGTCACCTGTGGACCCCAAAAGAAGCTGTTGAAGCAGAGATCTGCTTCATCAGCTTCTTTTCTCTGGCTATAGCAGCCAGATGACTGACAGGTGAATGCGGAAGTGATGTAACACACATGACTTCTGCATTCACAGCCCGGAGGGAGGTCAGCAAGGAGCTGATCTCCCTTCCTCTTCCTCCTGACGCCCTCCGAGCCGGTCCCGGGCCGCAGATGGGGCAGCGGATCCCGGGATTCAAGGTGAGGGGTCGGGCAACCTGCCATTGCTGCAGTGCCGTCCGTCAGTTTTTTTACAACGGGCGGACGGCAAATGGTTAAACATTAACATCTGTTGAGCAAAAAGTGTTATCATAATAAACACTGAACGAACACTGTCCAGAATAACGAGATTTCATCTAGGGAGATAACATATTTTTAAAGATATATGTTTGTTGCATGATTATTTTAAAGTTTTTGTTATCAAAACTAATTCTGGGAATACATTAGTAAGTATAATTTTACCATTCAAACAAAAGAGGGGGGGGGAAATGGCATTTTTGACCAATTTTCTTGTTAGCCGCTATATTATTACAGCCATACATAAGGGCCCATTCACACATGCATGCTTCGGTAATGCACATTATGTGCGTTGTAACGCCACTGAATGTAAACACAACATAAACACTCTGCGCTACAATGCACCATATTGCACAAGAACATATTGCGGCTTAGTGCAGCATAGAATGCATGGGCCCTAAATATCCCTGCATTACTTTGATAGTTGACAGTCTTCTTTTTGAACAATTCAGCACCCTTCTTCCCTCAAATCATGGCAATGGTACCCATCTGATGGGTAACGTGAAGAAAAAAAAAAAATCTTGAAAAAAATCATTACTATCCTTGCCTGTATTACACACAAACTGAAAGTAGCCACTGTTGTTTGGAAGTCACTGAATACATTTATTGAAGATTTACAGGATATAAACATAAATGTTTTGTGTGTGTGTATGTATATGTATGTGTGTGTGTGTATATATATATATATATATATATTGATAATAA